CTAGAGCGCGCTGCCGCCTGGTCGGCTGTCGTCGCTAAGCATCCGCCTCCGGCCGAAATGGCGACCACGGCGTCGGAACCTCCTGTACCGCCGGCTCCGACGCCCTCGACAACAGACGCTGAAAGGACTCTTCCCCACGCACCCGCGGATCCCCTTGCCGTGTTGGGAGATGGCTCGTCTGTTCCTGCGGCTGCTCTTGTATCCGGGGCGCCCGTTGTTCCGCCTGCTTCTGTCCCCGACGCGCCGGCACCGGCTTCTGTTTCGTCGACGAAGGCGGCGTCCGCCACCACTGGCGGCCCGGCTCCGTCGATTGCGCCGATCGCGGCGGCGCAATCCGCGCCTGTTGCTGCGACAGTGGACCCGGATGGTCAGCTGGTGCGCCCGCCGTCGCCTGGTCGCCGATCGTCTCGCCCACATTCCCCCCTACCTCACCAAGATCGCAAGTCGTCTCGTCGCCGTCGCGATTCTCCTCGGCGACACCAGCAGCAGCGTGACTGGCCTGCTCGCCCAGGTGGTCAGGTGGACTGGAGGGGTCCCCGCGGGCGCGGTGGGGGGTACCGCCCGCCGGTGACGATGGCCGATCTTCAGCGGGAAGTGTCCCGGGCTGTTCGCGAGGAGAGGGCGGCGCAGAGCCAGAGCAGCTCGCCGCGGGCTGCGCCGGCGCGCGTCGCACCTCGTCCGCATGTGCCTCCTGTGGTCCCTCCATTGGCCGCTCAAATTCCTCCCCCTGTCCATGACCCGTCTGCTCCCTCTCCCTCCGTGGCGGCGCCAGCTCCCGGCTCTCGTCTGCATCTGCCGACGGTTCTGCCTGTTGCGGGGGTGGAGTTTGTGGCCGCGGGTGGTGGCGTAGCGGCGGCTCCGTATGGAGCTGATGTGCCGCTCCAATTCCTAGCGGAGGCGCTTCAGCCTCCGCAGACGCGTGTTCCCGAATCGACTCTCGGGCAGCTCCACCGCCTCGCTGAGAGTCTCCACGCGTTGCTGCTGATACAGGTCCTTGCTCACTCCTCCCTCCCTGTGGTCTCTCCTGAGACGTTTCGCAACCGTCCGCGCGAGACATGCTTGGATGCGGCGGACCAGCTCGCCGTGCTGCTGGCGCCCGCTGCTGCTGCGGGACAGCTAGACAAGGCTGTCCGGAGCTTGAAGCGGCATTTGCGCGCTGGATCTGGAGCCGCGGCGATCGGCGCAAGTACGCTGGTGGTCCGGGAGCTGTGGCGGACGTTGACTGGCATTCTCCATGCCCTTGGAGCTCACCGGATGTAGATCCGGCCTCCGCTTGCTCCTGCGTTGCCATTGGTGCCTAGGATTTTGTTGATGCTGCCATAGTTTGTATGCCATTGCTTCTAGTCAATCATGTGTGTGTTTCCTTGCCACCCCTCACGCGCGGCCGAAGGCCGCGCTGTCGAGCGTCGGCCGCCGAAGGCGGCCGGCGCGAGCCGCTCGGTTAGGAGAATGAATAACCGAACAATGAGGAGCTAGGCTGGCTGCTAGAGCCTTTATACTAGAGAACAAGGGCTGAGAGGCTAAGGGAAGAGGCCTAGGTGCCTCTCTCTCTCTCTCTCTCCTCTCTCTCCCGCTCGGTTGGAGTAAGGGGAGAGGGCAGATGCTAGAATCCTCTCTCTCTCTCTCTCTCTCTCTCTCTCTCTCTCTCTCTCTCTCTCTCTCTCTCTCTCTCTCTCTCTCTCGCTCTCTCGAACGAGGAAAATTTTCTGCACCAGCCGAACAATGAGGTGAAGGGGCCCAGAGGGGCCTCTTATATAGCTCACAAGGAGAGGGCAGAGGGCTAAGGGGAGAGGGCAGAGGCTAGAATCCTCTCTCTCTCTCTCTCTCTCTCTCTCTCTCTCTCTCTCTCTCTCTCTCTCTCTCTCTCTCTCTCTCTCAAGCAGTCCTTCATTGATAGGTTCATAGGGGTACAGGCATGGCAAGAACAGGTGCAAAACATCCCTAGTACTAAGAGCAGCCGGTGATGCTTGGCAGGGCTGAGGTAGGCACAACGGGTAGCCAGGCGAGCAAGTCCTCTGTGCCAGTAGGTCAGGGCCTTGAGGGCAAGGGAGGGGAGGCAAAACACACAGAGCAGGCACACAAGGCAAGGCCAACCCGAGGAAGGCAAGCAAGGCAAGGCAAGGCAAGCAAACAAGGCAGGAGCCGGAAATGCATTTGGCTAACACTCAGCTAGACACCCATGCAATTGCTATCCCGCTCACTGACCCATCACCCCGTCCATCTCATCCTCCAGGACTTGCCAGAGATCCCCTACGCTAGGTTCCCAGGGGTCCGTGGCCGCCTGTGAGAAGGCTGCCACGTCCCCTATGTTCGACTTGTTCAGGAATGACGAGGCCTGTGAGCGCTGGAGCATGACGCTGAAGCGCTGCCTGTAGTGAGCGGTGAGCCGAGTAGTGGTGGTGGTGAGCCTCCCCCTGGCGGAACCTTCTCTTCGCCGTCGAGGTTGCTAACAAGCGGATGAACTGCTGTGTATCCGTAGCTAGGGCACCGTATGTTTCCACCGCCAACCCGAAGAAACCCACGTAGTCAGGCCGCCCCTCATAGATCCTGTGTTTCCTCTCTGAAGCTTCTCTTGCCGCCCATCCAGGTGGCTTCCGGGCGCGCTTGTCACGGCACTGCAGCACTGGGTCGGTCATTGTCACGTCTGTGACCCAAGTCTCATTCGACTCCTTGTCCCGAATAGCAAGGTCTCCTCTCTTCCTCAGCACCGGTGGGGAAAAGGCAGTGGTTTCGTGGAAAACCGTGAAGTCGGCCTCCTTCGCCATCCGGAGCAGAGTAAACACTTGAGCATTGTGTGTGCGGGCGACATCTCCGCCGTACCCACACCGCAAGAGGTGGTTTGCCAGGCTCGTGTCCGTGATTGCAGTGTTGGCGCGCTTGCACGGGCAGGTGACTGTAACTGGAAGAGCCATGCCGAGGCGAAAGCCAAGTGCCAACGAGAACTGACCAGGGGCAAAAGTAAGGTCAGGTCTCGTTGGGACGGCATGGAGCCAGTCCCCCGCGCCCACCCCTTGCAAACTGATGAGCCGTATTGCGTGCCCACGGTCCTTCCCTGGGCGGTCTTCTATTGTGTCAGCCAGCAGCTCTGCCGCCCTCGTCTCATTGATGTGGCGAGAAAGGGTCAATTGAAGGTTCCCCTGTCCCGCCGGCTGCTCCCTGTAAGTGTGTAGTGCCGCCCGTGCATCTATGGGTAACCCAGCTTCCAGAGTTGTCAGGGGGTTGATGCCGGGTGGGGCAGGGGTCCAATCGTGGCACAGCAGCTCGACTGCCCTGCTCAGGAGATAGGCCTCATGCAGGTTCATCTGGCGCAGCAAATGCTGCGCCGCCGTGACCGGAGCGATGTAGGCCGCAGGTGCCTCGGAGACTGGGTCAATAATCCCCAAGCCTCCCAACCTGACCGGCAGACTCCCCTGGCGCCACAATAGACTCCTCTCCAGCTCGTCTGAAGGTACTCGAAGCTCCGCTGCTGCTAGTGCCGTTGCCATCAGGGTCTCACTCCAGCCCCTCCACCCCTCTCTCCCCAGGACTTCCGCCGGTGTCGTCCGCAGAAAGTAGGAGATTCGGCGGGATATGCTCCTCGTGAGGATAAGCATTGCGCTCTGCGGGTGGAGCTGCGCCACCAGAGGTAACGGGGCCGACGCCTCATCAAGCCGTGTTTGTGCTTGGGTGGTGCAGAAGGCAGGCAAGACGACTGGGCTGCCTAGAACCCAGATCCCATCTGCGATCTGCTGCAGGCCGATGGGAGGTGGCGTGCCGCCGCCATCCGCGAGCGTTTGTCCCCATGCTGACAATTTTGCTATGTTGCAACGGAGGCCGAGCGTTGCCAGCTCCCTGGTAATGGCTCCAAAGGCCTCATAGCAGGCCTCCTTTGGCCCCACTATCGTTATGTCGTCGGCGTAGGCCACTATCGCGACTTCCGGTAAGAAGGTCGCCGTGCTTAGCAGGCATGGTTGAATTGCTGCCGCGAAGAGTAGTGGACCGAGCGGGTCCCCTTGACGCACCCCGCGTGACGAGAGGATATGGTTCACTCCAAAACGTTCATCGACCAAGAGTGACGACGGTGCCCCGTAGAGAGTTTGGGCCAGGGGCATGAGCTGCAGCAAACTGGACTGGGAGAGAGCGTTGAAGAAAGCCGCCCGTTCGACACTGTTGAAGGAGTTTTCTATGTCCAGCTGTAGCGCTACTCGTGTGTCGTCGTCCCTTAGTAGCGATCTGACGGAGTGGACGATACACTCTGCGCCTCCCGGTATCGCTACCCCAAACTAGACAAGCAGGAAAAACTCCTTAATGTTCTCGGTTAAGCCACGCAATGCCGCCTTAGCTACAACTCGAATAATAGCCTCCCCTATCGCAATAGGCCGGACTCCTCCTCCTGTATTTTCTAGGGCGATCAACCGTGAAGGCAACAGCAAATCGGGGGTCCCTTGTGTTTGGAACGTGCTCAGCAGGTACGTCACTACCTTAGCGAGTAGAATAAGCACCTCCCCGTTTGCCAGTGCCGGATCCTTGAGGTGTTCGAAGCAGGTGCCAGATGGGCCTTCTCCAACCCCGTTCGGGCATTTCTTCAGGATTTCACGAAGTTCGTCCGCTGACACGCTGAGGGTCGAGCGGTTGAACCCTGTAACCAGACTCGGTAGCGAAGTTTCGGCTGCGGGGTGTTTCGCTTGGAGGGCAGTCAAAGTTGCTGCCGTTGCTTCTGCGAGCGGTGTAGTTCGTAACGCTGCTATCGCCTTGGAAATGTTTCCTTTCCGTATCAGCCCTTCCGCCCTTGCGCATAAACCCGCGTCATCCGGTTGGTGTCGTATCGGGCTCTCATTGTCGGGGATAACACATGCGTCGGTGTAGAGGGCCTGCCAGCTGCCGAGTTGGAACTGGTGCAGGCGCAGCTCTATTGCTGTCCACCGACTGCCTTCAACAGGTTCAGGGGCCGGGCGTAGCGTCAGCCTTGGCAGATACTGCAGGATCGCCCATGCACCTGGGCAGTCACGATTCTTCGAGAGTCAAATGAGTGGCGCCAGGAGACAGAGCGTGTAGCTTTCCAGGATCTTGGGCGGCATTCTGCGGACCACGAAGGGTTGATCCCCTTTTTGGAGGGGGTATTTGTCCCACGTGGCTGCCAGCTTCCAGATGGCAGAATCATCCGCCAGGTCAGACGGTGATCTGACCCCAGAGTCACTCTGTCCCTCGATGGGTGTGTCTCCATTTTCTCCCACCACCTGACGGTTTCCCCTTACTCGTGGCGCTTCCTCGTTCCCAATTCTCGTACCCTGAGGGTTATCGCCCTGGGGGTTTACCCCAATGTTCTGGGTTCTCCTTCGCTCCCCAGCTCTTCTCGTCATGTGTACTCCCTCCTCGTCCTCCAACGAGATTTCCTCTGATGGCTCCGCTGATTCAGCTACATAATCGCCCCCCTTATCCGTGTTTGCATCATCTTCTTTGTCGTGATTCGTTGCAGGCTCCGCTTGCTCCGGTCGCTCGTGGCGTTCCCGCCACGTTCCCGTTCTCACGAGCGCGACCCTTCCGCCGACAATTGGGCCTCTTCCGGCCCGCCCCCCTCTGGCCCCTCGCACTCCTCCCCTTGCTCCGCGAGCCGTTTCTCCCCCCCTAGGGCCGGCGTTCTGCTCGCCTCGGCCTGCCTGTTGCGGTCTTCCCGCCGGGATCCACGGCGCCAGCATCGGCGTTGCCTGGCCAACCCTTGGCTGGCCCCACGTAATGCCTTGCGCCCTCGTAACACTGCGGGTTTCACGCCGTGGGGTCTGTTGAGCCGTGGCGGCAGCCGTGGTTGTTCTCCCCCCGTCGAGTTCCGCGAATCCCGACGCGGTGGTTGTTGCATTGATGGTCCCGCCACTGCGTTCCCTGTCGTGATGATCGGTGTGGGTGCTAGCCTGATCATGTCTCCTGCTTCCCTTCTCCCGTCGCTTGTCCCCACAGATGGCAAGTGACGCTCTTGCCCTTGTGGCAACTGCCCTTGCAGAAGCCAGCCCAGGAGGGGTCCCGGGGGACCAAGTCCCAGCCCTGCTACGGGCCGCCTCGGTGCTGGCTGGGCTCGAAGCTTCGTCTTCCCGCGGGCGGCGCCGGCAGTCCCGCCAGCTCCGCGACCCTGTCTACCGCTCCCCCCCAGATCGTGTCCCTGCGTGCTTGCGCCCTTGGCAGCAGCAGAAGTTTCGGCGTTCGCAGCGGCGAACGGCGCACCCTCCTCGGTCCGGGCTCCGTCCTGTTCCCCTGTCGCCACTGTCACCGCCGCAGCCAGCACAGACGCCGTTACAGGCTCCGGTGATGCCGCCAGCTCCACCGCCTCGGTCCATTCCTGAGCCACTGGTGGTCCCGGCTCCTCTGGTTGCCACGCCTGGGGGATGGCAGAGGGTGAGGCTGAGCCGCCGCCAGAGGCAGCGTCAGGCCCGCCAAGCTCAGCAGCAGCCACCATCTCAGTCGCCTCAGCAGCAACCTTCTCCAGCCCCGCAGCAGCCGCAGCCTCAACCGCCACAGCCGCCTCTGACTCAGTCCCCATTGCGCCACTTCCCCCTGCTGCCGCGGCCGCAGCCGCCTCGCCCTCCACCGACTCTTGTTCCCCCGCCGCCTCCCCAGGTGTTGTTATTCCCACCCGTCCCACCAGCTCCTCACGTTGCTGCTCGTGTGGTTGCGACTCCTTTCCACGTCGAGCAGCGCGTAATGCACGTGGGGACGTGTTTGACGCTGCTGTCCTACGTGCTGGACCAACTCCACGTGTGTCTGGCGCAGCAGGGTGTGGAGGTTGGGGGGATGATGACATCGGAGCAGTCAGCGGTGGTGTCCGCAGCAAGGGAGATGCTACATTATCTCCCCCTGATCGGGCTTGTCCAGGGCGCCCCTGGTGCTGCGCTCGGGCCCGGCCCTGGGGCAATGTTGCGGCTTGCTGAGTCTGCTCAGGGGGCCCCTCTTGGTCTTGTATCAGCAGCCGCATTCGTCCTACGCTGGATGAACGGGAGGCTGTGCTGGATACTCTCCGAGTAGCCGGTTTGTCCCCTTTGCCATCCCCCTTGGTAGCTGGCTTAGCCTTGGGCTTCCCCATGGCGGTGTAGGCACGCCCGGGGGTGTTGCTTTTGCTGCAGGGCTCTACCACTGCATGTTGTATAAAATGCTCTTATGAAACTTGTCACTGGAGACCCTTGCCACACCTCACGCGCGGCCGGAGGCCGCGCCGGCGAGCGGCGGCCGCCGAAGGCGGCCGGCGTGAGCCGCCGGTTTTGGAGAGTAAACTGAACTCACCAGTGAAGAATGAGCTCAGAAGGGAGCATCTAGGGACTATATACTAGGGTACTAGGCTGAAAAACGGCTAAGGACTGGATCCTACACTAGAGAGGGCTGAAAAACGGCTAAGGACTAGGCCTAGGCCATCTCTCTCTCTCTCTCTCTCTCTCTCTCTCTCTCTCTCTCTCTCTCTCTCTCTCTCTCTCTCACTCTCTCTCTCTCTCTCTCTTGCTCGCTCTCTCTCGAGCGAGCCGCCGGTTTTGGAGAGTAAATTGAACTCACCAGTGAAGAATGAGCTCAGAAGGGAGCATCTAGGGACTATATACTAGGGTACTAGGCTGAAAAACGGCGAAGGACTGGATCCTACACTAGAGAGGGCTGAAAAACGGCTAAGGACTAGGCCTAGGCCATCTCTCTCTCTCTCTCTCTCTCTCTCTCTCTCTCTCTCTCTCTCTCTCTCTCTCTCTCTCTCTCTCTCTCTCTCTCTCTCGGGCCAGGGCGAGGGGCAGGGCCCAAGACGTCCAAGTGGAGAGTCTAGAAGGGCGCAGTGGCCGGAGAAAGGGAGGAGGAGTGAGGAGTGGCATGCAGCCGACCCTCGATGTAGGGAGTCCACGGCGGCGCTGGCGAAGGAGGGAGCAACGCAAAGACGCGAGGGAGACCGAAGACAAGACACTAACTAGACATTCTACGGAGGCGTGGGAGGGACAGGTGACCAAGATGGTTGTGGCAGAGGACTGTCAAGTGGGTGAGCGACCGACAGGTACACGACGCAGCAACCTGACTGGACGCTGCTACCTGGGGGGACTCAGTGTGCAGTGTGAAGAGACCGAAGTAGGGCTCCCAGCGAAATGTTGCTAGGGGAGCATACGTGTTACCGTCCATGCATGTCCCAACACGCTAAGATGGAGGAAACCAGACGTCGACGTGGCGGTCCTGAAGGTGTCCAAGACCTACCGAGTTTCTAGGGAATGTGGGGATGTGGAGATCAATAAGGACACCAGAGGGGACAACCGGGCACGGGAGAGTGGTAGAGTTGCGTGCTGCTGGTCATGACGAAGGATCAGCCAGTGCAACTGGAACCAGAGCAGGAAGCGATGTGAGAGTTGTGTCATCGCGGAAGAAGTAATGAGACACGCCAGAGTCCAGCGTGAAGGAGAGCGGCGCGTCAGCTGTAGGAACACCTGGGCTAGTGGCTACACAAGCACCTAGACTCAAAGCACACGCACCTATACCAGCAACGGGCAAAGATCCAAGTCTAGGAACACGCGAGCAAACAAAACCATCAGCATTTTAGTCAGCATCAGCATGCGAGGCATACTGACGAGCCTCATTCATGGTCAGATCAAATACAAGACTTCTTACGAGCAAGCACCTGCACCCTGCGCGAGGTGCGACCCTCAAAACCGTGGCGCTGACGGTAGAGGTCGTCAAGGCGGCGGAAGCAGTGCGCTGCAGAGTGGCCGCTGCGCCCGCATAAAGCGGGACTACCCGGACTTGCAGGTGTAGGAGCCGCGGCCAGCGGGACGGGGTCCCCAGCTGGCGGGGGTGCTGCTATGGCCGGTGCTTGCGGAGATACACTCTACAACGGTAGTGAGCTAGGCTACGGGGGTTGGCACGAACTACTAGGAGTGATCGTAGCTTTGCTAAGTTCCTTAGTGCTTGCACATTCACGGGAGAGATTGACAAGAGTTTTCACTAGCAAAGTTGAGAATCCAGAATCATTGAAGAAGCAATAACAACAATAACTACATCAGGCACCTAGCAACCCTGCAGCTAGCCTGGTCGACCGCCAGCGCAGCTCGGTCGACCGCCTGCCAGCATTGCGTAGAGGAGCCGCGCCAGCACTGCAGAAGGGCGACCTGCCAACAAAGCAGGTAGACGGCGTGCCCCGTAGAACACAGCAGTGCGCGCGCTCGCAGTTGCGCGCAGACGATTGGCCCGACTTGCCTCGTTGGGCATCCGTCGGCTGTTGTCTGCGCCTGACGAGCCACATCGACTTCGGGATACCAGCCCGAAGTCGCCTGCGCCATCGCGATCTCGACGACGTTCATGTGCCTCCGCAGACCTCGTCGAGCAGGTTACCCGGTCGACCTGGTCGACCCCTGGTGCTCTGGTCGACCCCCAGGTGCCTCCGGTCGACCACTGGGTCCCTCTAGTCGACCGCCAGGCGCTCCTGGTCGACCACAACTCCCGTCGAGCTACCCCCTGTTCTACGGACCCCTTCCGTCGACCAGAACTGCTCTGTCGACCTCCCGGTCGAACTGCAGGTCGACGGGATGCTCCGAAGACCTCCCCGTCGAACCGCAGGTCCTGGTCGACGTCCCACCCGTCGCCCAGACCAGTCAGTTGCAGCTGTCGAGCTCCCTGGTCGACAGCAACACCACAGCGGTCCCCTGCAGCTCGACGAAGCCTGTCAAGCAGCTCTCCCACTGTGAACAGTCGGCTGCTATTCCCGTACATCCGACCAAGTCGTCGGCGTTGCCCAATCGAGGGCACAGCCAACACTCCATTCCTGTTAACACTCCCCTGCAGCGCTCACGCTTGGGCCTCCAGCCCACACGGCAGTACTCCACGGAGAAAACTCGTCCTCGGCGTCCACCCCACACACAGCACGCCGTCACCGCACCAGCCGTGCAGAAGGGCACGGCACCTACTGCTGCACCTCGTCGTCGCCGTCGCCGACGTCGACCAGACGAACTTGGCCAATGACGACAGAGCACCGGTTGAAAGCCGGAAAATGCAGCGCCTTTGTCAAGAAGTCTGCCGGCTACTCGGTGGTCAGGATGTAGTTCAGCACAAATTTCCCGCGCCTCACCATGTGCTGCAGCCAGGCGTAGCGCCGCTCCATGTGCTTGAGGTTGCCCGTCAGCCCCAAGCACTCAGCGACCGTGATTGCCGACTTGTTGTCGACGCGGAGGATGGTCGGCTTCCCAGCGTCGAGCAGCTTGAATTCCGCAAGGATGGCGCGAAGTCGACGCCCCTCCTTGCCGGCGTCCATGGCCGCCACGTACTCCGACTCGGTCGATGACAATGTCGCGCACTTGATGCGCGAGCTCGACCAGGAGACGGCGGCCCCTCCGTAGACGAACACGTAGCCTCCCGTGCTCGTCTGGTTCTGCTTGTTGCCCGCGTCGTCGGCATCGACGTAGCCGATCAGCTCCAACGATTCTGGTCCACCGCCAAACTCCAGGGCAGTGTCGCGGGTGTCAGCGAGGTAGGCGAGGCAGCGGTCGACCTCGCGCCAATGCTGGTTGCCCCTCACCGTGAGGCCGCTCCCCAGCTTGCTGCAGGCGAACGCGATGTCCGGCCTTATCGTCGTCGCCGCGAACTGCAACGAGCCGACCTTCTGCCGGTACTCCTCCTCCTCGCGCTCTTGAGCCTCCTCGTCGTCGAACGTTAGCTGAGCGTAGGCGTCAACCGAGACTGGCGTCTTCAGGACTCGACCGCCCTACTCCTCATCGATGAAGCGCCTGCGCAGCTTGTCGGCGTAGCCCTGCTGGTGCAGCCACAGCTTCCTGGCCGGCCTGTCGCGCAAGATCTCCAGCCCAAGGTACTTTACCACCGGTGAGATCTCACGCAGCTCGAAGGCGGCCTCCAACAGCTCCTTCAACTCCTTCAGCATCGTGGTGCTGCTGCTGGCGGCGAGCAGGTCGTCGACGTAGACCAGCACCCAGCAGGTCACTCCATCGTTGCCGGCCTTGAAGTAGAGCACCTCGTCGACCTGGCTCTTCTTCCAGCCAGCACCCACCAACACACTGTCGAGAGCCTTGTACCACAGTAGCGGCGACTGCTTGAGCCCGTAGAGGCTCCTCAGCAGGTTGCACACCCGGCCGGTCCCGTCGTCGAAGTAGTCCGGCTGGTACATGTAGAGCACCCTATCGAGCTTGCTCTGCAGGAAAGCGTTCTTCATGTCGAGCTGCATCAGGTTGAGGTCCAGAACGGCGACGATGCTGAGGAAGATTCTCAGCGTGACGTAGCTGCTCACTGGCGAGTACGTCTCGTCGTAGTCGGCACCGTACACCTGCGTGAAGCCCTTCACGACCAGCCTCGCCTTCTCGCGCTCGACGGTGTCGTCGATGCGGTACTTGGTCGTCAGCACCCTTCTTCATGATGTTCACCCCGCGTGGGCGTTCGACCAGCTCCCAAGTCCCCATGCCGATGAGACTGCGGATCTCTTCTTCCATGGTGGCCTTCACCGCCTCGCCCTTCCTGCTCGACAGCGCCTCCTTCACCGTCATCATGGCGATGTCCCAGCGGCGTTCGGGGTTGGCATGCACGTCAGGGTCGAGCTCCGGCAGGTCTTCATCCTCCTCGGCGTTGTCGTGCAACAGATCGTCGTCGACCTTGTCGAACACCGTGGTGAAGGCAGCTGGCGATAGGCAGGCGTGGAAGCTCAGCCGCTCCGGTGGCCGTCGAGCTCGACCTGTGCGTCGCAGCTCAGGCTTCCTGATCGGCACTTCCACCACGTCGCTGTCGGTGGACTCCTCACCCGCCGACTGCTCCCCTTCCTCATCGACATCCTCGTCATCGACAAGCTGCTTC